AGAGCCCAAAGACCCCGACACGGGGCAACAGTTGTACAAAACAGGAATCAACAACATCCAGTGGGACTTCCCCGGGGTGACACCCGGCGAAGCGATGCGATGGCTCCAAGTCACACTAGGACCGATGTTCGCTGGCACCTGGCACGCTTTCGCCAAGCGGCAGTCTGTGCCCGGCAGCAAGGGCGCGCTCGACCCGCTTCGGCACGACCCGCAAACTTGCCACCTCTTCCTGGAATCCTTCGGCAGCCACAAGTGCGACGTACTGGTCCTCAGCGACGCGCTGGGCCTCGACGTCGATTGGACTCGGCCGCGGCAGCTGCGCCTGGGTCGTAGCGGAGGCGGGGGCAGCGGTCACCACGCGGCACAGGGACACCCGAGCAACCAGGCCCCCAAGAAGCGCAAGAAACAGTGGTGCGCCGTCTCCCCACAGTAGCCTTGCCACCCCCCTCTGTGGTCAGCACTACGTCGGAGGAAACGCGCTGCGCGGGTGACGGATTGGCTGGCCCCCCAGGAGCGGTCGCAATAGGCGTGCAGTGAATGCCGGGCTTCTTCACGCTCTGCGCGCTCCGCCTAGGGGCGCTGCCCGGTGACGGACCACCAGCTTCCCCCCCGCACTGGCATGGCGCTCTGTTCCCCCCGCGGTTGCCGTGGACCCCCCGCATCGCACGGTGGAGGGGGCGCAGAGGCCACTGTACCCACAGGTTCTCCACTGGCGTCGCCTCTCCTTCTCCTCCTCCTTCCCCTCTTCCTCCTCCACTCGTGCTGTTGCGCCGCGCTGTGCCACGCGGATTCCTCCCATTGTGACTCCGCCGGAGCACGCGAGCGGAAGTCTCGGCGGTGTCGGCGGAGGCCGTGGAAGCCGCGGAGTTCCCCCCTCTGGCCGTGCCGTCCGACAGCTGTCCTCTGCACCAGCTGGACTGAAGTTCGGCGTGGGAAGTCTCGGCGGGGCGGCGGAGGCTGCGGTCAACACCACGGCGGAGGAAACACGCTGCATGGGCGTCGTATTGTCTGGCCCCCCCCAGGTGCGGTCGACAAAGGCAGCAAAAGGGTACTGGGCTTCTTTGTGGAAGTCCTTCCGCAAGCAGCGGTGGAGGGACCGCGGATGCCGCTGCACTCACTCGGTGGGTTGTCTTCTGTCAGTTCGATTTTCGCGACGCCTCCCCGCGAGTTGCTACCATGGCATGTGTCTCGACATCTGTCTCGTTCAGAACCTTTACTTCTTATATTGGCTGTTGTCCACGTGCTGCGTGCGTGGCTATACCGTCGGCCTCAGTTATTTTCTCCTCTGTCTACGTGCTGATCGCGTGGCTACTCCGTGGACAGTTTGGTTGTCTACTCTGGTACCCACCTTCTCTGTTGACTACGAGTTGTACACCGTACTCATCAGCGCGATTGGGCGTCTCATACATCCTCCCTCTTGGTTATGACGGGCTGTTGTCGGACGTGCCGTGCTTCTCCATCGGCGGAACACACTGCGTGGGCAAACGAGTGACAGGCCCTCCGGCGCGGAAGGCCCGCGCATCCCGAATACGTAGGAGGGGGCGCGCTGTGTGGGTGACGACGACAGGCCCCCCCAGGAGCGGTTGCAATCCCCACCAGCACGCGCGGGCAGCGTGGCAGGTGTGGTTCTGCGACTGAGCGACGCCTCCTCCGACTCCCGACGTCGGGGCTGACTGCGTCGCCTGGCCCGGCTTCGACTGCGACGCTGACTGCGCCGACGACGGGGGCGACGGGGCCGGCGCCGGCGGCCGACGGGGCCGCGGTCACTGAAGACCCTCCGCAGGGGGCGGTGGAGGGGTCACAAAGGTGGCCCCAAGCGAAGGCGCATTCCCCCACAGTGGTCCGCGGTCTGCTCCCCCCGCGGTCGCAGAGCATCCTCCGCAGCGCACGGTGGAGGGATCACAGAGGCCACAGTCCACGCACGTGGTCGCACCTCACGTGCTTCCCCCGGTCGGTGCTTCTGTGGGCAAGTGAGAGCGCTGCCCCCCGCAGGGGTCTTGCGCTCCGTTCCCCCCACGGTCGCAGAGGGCCCTCCGCAGCACACGGTGGAGGAATCACATAGGCCACTGCATTCTCAGTGTCTCCCCCCCCCCCCCCCCCAAGTTCACAACTCCTGCAACGCGCGCCGTTGGGTTCTCTGCGGTCACCGCCGCCACCTGGCCCACTGGCATTGCCCCTCTCCCCTTCCTCCATTCATTTACCTGACTTGCGGCTATCGGCTGCGCCTCTCCCCCCTCCTCCACGCACGCTGATGTGGTGTGCCGCGCCGCTCGGCTTCCCCCCGTCGCGGCAACGTTCACGCACCTGCTCCGAGGTAGTCACACCTTTCCCACCGGCGGGGCGCGCTCGCCCGCTGGCCCCAGTGGGTGGGCCTGGGGAGGCAGGATTCCTGTGCAAGTGGTCCATCCTTTGGCAGGTCTGAGCCTTCCCATTGCAGGCCCGTCCCTCCGGCCCTCGGCTTCGCTTGCGACGTCGCGCCCGTCCTCTGGGCGGACTTGTTGCTCGCGTGCGCCAACGACGCCAACGACCGATATCACGGTGCACGGCGCACGAGGCCCACGACAGCCCAGCGGTTCTCCCACGGGCAGGTCCGCAGGCCTCCCGCTGGGTGGTTCAGCCGTGGTACCACGCAGCGTTTCCCCCCATCCACAGTGGCAAGGAAGTCGCAGGCTGGGACTCTGACGACTAGGCCGCCGACGCCTGTCAAGGTTCGACACACCTGTCCTCGAGCAATCTAGGTGCTCTGTGAGCGAGGCTTCCTTCCTTCCCCCTTCCCTCCGCCTCCTGCGCCTCTTCGTCGCCTCCTGCGCCTGTCCCTCCTTCTGCTCCTCCTCGCCGCGTTTGGCGGTGCCTTTCCTTGTGCTCTGTGCTGCCCGCACAGTGTCCCCGCCTTCTCGCAGGCTTGGTCTGTGGGGGCAGGTGCCACTGTGCGACCCCCCGCCGGCTTTTCCAGTCTGCTGCCGTCATCCGTTCCTGGGTCATTCGTCCCTCGCACGTGCATTGCGGCGTTGGCATATGTGCCTTCGTTGCCAATCGTCTCGCTTTGCGCCCCTGTCGAGATTGACCCGCTCTCTGGAGCCGTCCTTTGAGCCGCAGATCAAAAAAATATCCCCACCAGTCATTGACGCTTACCTGCGTTCGCGCCTCCACCGGATGGCCTAGCGCCGCATGGCGTAAAAACGAATTCCCTGGCATTTTGCTCTGGGCTGCACGATGCTCGAGTTTCCCTGGGTGCCCGTCAGCCAGCCAGCCCTCGCCTCGCTGCCCCAGCGGCCGCCTTGTGAACTGGCCTGGCCGGCCTGAGTTGCGCCCTGCAGCTAATCAGGTTTGTTCGTAGGCCCGGACAACTTTTGTCGCCGCGTGCGTTCTTCGTTCGCGACCGCGACCGAAAAACATATCCCCACCAGCCTTACTCGCAGCTGGCGCTCTCGCCTGCGGCTGCTAAGAAAAAAGCGTATCCCCACCAGCCCATCCAGAAACGATGTCCTGGCGAGTTGAGGTGATCATGGAAGTGCGGCAGCAAAGAGGAGGACGGCCGAACCGTGCAAGGGAGTGATGGGGGAGAAGGAGGAGGTGGATGCATGGACGGATGGATGAGGGAGTGGGAAGAAGGAGGATGCATAGGATGAGGAGGAGGCGGAGGAGGAGGAGGAGGAGGAGGAGGAGGAGGAGAAGGAGGAGGAGGAGGAGGAGGAAGAGCAGGAGTAGGAGCAGGAAGGGGGAACAGGAGAAGGAGGAGGGCAAACACAAGGGCCAGAGGTCTCTTGGATGCCTCTCGGAGCCTCTTGGGGTATCTCGGTGGCCTCTTGGGACGTTTTGGGGGTCTCTTGGCGATCCTGGGGGGCTCTTCGGGGTCTTGGGTGCCTCAGGGGGGGCCTCTTGGGGTCGCTTCGGGTCTTCTTGGGGGCCTCCTGGGGGACCTCTTGGGGGCCTCTTGGGGGCCTCTTGGGGCCATCTTGGGGCCATCTTGGGACCTCTTGGGCCTCCTGGGCGCTTCTTGGGGCCATCTTGGAGGAGATCGGTCAACGAAGGGGGGTTCCTCAATTACGCCCCCCCCCCTCAGGAGCACCCAAAATCGCCTCCTGGACCCATCTTGGAGCGTTCTTGGAGCGCTCTTGGGCGCTCTTGGGACCGTCTTGGGGCTGTCTTGGTCCCTTATTGGACCCCTGTTGGGCCATCTTGGAGCGATATTGAGGCCTCGGATGGGCATCGGAAGCGCAAAAGCGATAACGCCAAAAACATTGATCTTCCCATGGCTTTGAAGCATTTTGGTCTGGTCGGGGCGTCACTGGGAAGCTTTTTTGGCCACTTAGACCCGTCTTGGAGCGGTCTTGGAGCGTCTTGGAGCATCTTCGGAGCTACATCGAGGCATCTCGTGCGATCTGGAGTCATCTTCGACGCTATCTTTGGCTGCTCTGAGGCCCTCATGGAGCCATCTTGGGCCATCTTGGACGCTCTAACTACCCGCGGTCCCCCCCCGTCCAGGTCCCGGGGAGGGGATAGGGGGAGTAGGGGGAGGGGTAAACCCCTCCCCGAAGGGGAAGAGGGAGGGGTGGAAGAGGAAACGTCCGAAATCACCGACGCCCAGAGGGCTGGTGGGATTTGGCCCGTCACGCGTCCCGTCCACCTCGTGAAAAGTGTGCAAGTACACATGAGAAGGGTTGAGCCTGGGCTCCAGCCCAGGACTGGCGCGAAGATCATCGAACAGTTATGCGTTCCTCCCGTCGCCCGTCGTCCCCCCCCCCTCCCCCACCGTATACGACGTTTTCTACGTGGTGCTGTCAGTTGTGGGCTCGACGGGAGGGCATGGCGGGGGCTCCTGCGGTAGCAGGTAGAAAACCCCAGCCTTCTTTCAGACAAGACCCCATGGTTGCCAGTGGCTTCCAGGGGGCACGACGGAAGTGCCGGCTCCCCCCCCCTTCCTCCCCCTCTCCCTTCCTCTTCCCCTCCCCCCTCCGCCCCTGCAGAGGGGGTGGGCCCGAGCCCGCGCGGCGCGGGAGGCAGCCGGCGCGGATCGAGAGCCGCTTGGACCCCGCGGACAGGACAGGCAGCCGCGGCTGTGCATGCCGAGGGGGGAAATGTTAACGTTGGCGAGCGTTTCTCGTCGGCGGCGCGCCGAGGAGGGAAGTTCTGCGTTCGCTGACCTTTCCGTCTGTTCCCAGAGGTTTGCCAGCCTCGGGGGTGTTTTTCGGCAGCTGCGCCTCGCAGAGGGTGTGCCTGGGGGGCCCAGATCGCCCCGAGCGGCCGCCGGAGACCCGAGGTGTGATCCAGGTGTCGGGACGTTCATCGCTCGGCGGCGCACCCAGGGGTGGAGTGAAGAGGGGGGCAGGTCTCCGAGGCCTCAGAGAGCATCTCAGAAGACTGAAGGCCGTCTGTTGGCGGCAAGCGAGGGGGCGCAGCGAGAAGGAGAAGACCGTCTCAGAAGGCGGCGGGACTTCTCAGAAGCCCTCGCGTCTTCTGAGACGTTCTCTTAGGTTGCAGGGAAGGTTTAGGAAACTTCGGGGAGGGCTAAGCAAACTTCTCAGAAGGCTGGAGGACTTTCGAGCCTTCTGAGAAGGCCTCCTCCTTCTCATTCCCCCCCGCGCTCGCCGCCGAGTCTGAGCCTTCTGAGAAGGCCCGCCCCCATCTACCTTCCCCCCCTGGACGCGCTGCTGATGAGCGGTTTCTAAACTCGCCCTAAGAAGCGGCAGAATTCGATTGTTGAGTGTCCAGAGGAAGCCACTGCGGCAAGATGTTGATCGTGTTGTTTCCCTTTGCCCGCAGAGGAAAGAGCCACCCGCATGAACATCAACTGTTGGAAGTTCGCACGAAATTCCAGGAGTTGCGCTAGGCCCACCATGGAGGTGCCCCTGGATCTGCGCTGTGCTCCCCTGGATCTGCGTCAGCATCATGTGGTCGATCCCCATGCCCACTGGGCCAAGGTATCCCAGCCCCACCAACGCACCCCTAAAGGTGTGGATCGGTCCCGCGAACCCCACGGAGAATGTTATACATCCGCACTTGGGGGATGAGTCGGCAAGTGGGGCTAAGTCCATGCCACTGAGGATAAATATTGGTTAAGAGATGTTCCTTGCGGCAAGAATGTGATTGTGTTGCTTCCCTGCTCTCGGAGAAGAATGTCACACATACAGAGCTTCGGGGGTCCGTGCGGCATTCTCGGATCTGCGACGAGCTCACCTGGCGGCGCTTCCAGCGCCGCCCCTTGCGCGCGGAGCGCGCCAGGGAAGGGTCCAGCCCGATCCAAGCACTCCTCGCGGACCTGCAACATTTTGGCATGGGCAGCTTTTACCTGATTGTAAGCGTCTCCGCGGAGTGGGTCAGGGGCCAGCGCAGGAGGGCAAATCCAAGGACTCGCACACGGGCACGTATAGTAAACGCGCGTACAGGATCATATTACAAATGATCAGGGATATAGTAAAGCATCTGTAGGCTGCGAAGTGATACATCATTTTCTGCCGCAAACCGACGCGATCTGATCTACATTCGATCGGGTGTTCTGTGCCTGAAGAGCTTATGTAGTTGACGCCCCATCGTTATCATACATCAGAGCAGTCAGTCACGAACTGGGGTTCAAGCTACTGATGCTCTCGCGCAATATTAAAGACGATAGGGACCACTTACATACGTGTGGGGCTGCATCTAAGGACGTTTTGATGGCGTCTGCTACATCTGTAGATATCCGAACAATAAAATGCCGCTTCTTACTTCCACGTCCGTTCGACGAGCCGCTAGCCGATCCAGTCCGCGTGCAGGAATGCGACGCCGAATGCACCATTGGTCCTTGGCTAGGACACGGGATGCCAGGCCTAAGTTGTAATTAGTTCAGCACTCGGTGGTCTATGTCGGAGGATCTGTTCCAGGTTCATGTTTTTGAGCATCAGTTTCATGTCAACCCATTTGGATGCAAGGCTTGAATGCGACACCGATGAAGCCATCATTATTGCGAGCCGTTGTATCGGGGGAACTGAATACCGGCTTCATCGAACACTTGTCAGCACTTTTAACGATAAGCGAATCTCATCGTTGGCAAGGCTAGCTAGTGAGAAAACAGATGCCGATCGAGTCATTGAGTGCGAGCGTGAGCCGTCAAGTTGGATTTTCTGTGTGGACATCTGTAAAGACCTCGACAAAAAGAAGAAATGGCAGTCTGAAGATGGACCGTGGGCGAATTTTGCAGTGACCATGGATATTGTCCGACAACGCGCGCCGCACATGTTCTATGAAACCCGTTCCGCAAGTGCGGCGCGCACAATTGAAGGCAAGATTGAATCCCGAATTTCGTTTGAGCCGTGAATTACCCAGCACGTTGCATGATTAACAGACGGCCAGAGCGCGCGAAAAGAAGGTTCGGCAATCGAGGAGCTCAATTCGAAAAGGATGGGAGGTCTGACTCGCTGCCCGGATTCTAATATGTTCGACGAGGCGTTCGAGATCCGATGTTCACTCGCATGGTACGAAACACGCGCTCGAGTGCGGCTAATTGCGGCTACTCGTTCTAGGCCTCGGCGTATTCGAAGGTTGACGGATACAGTGGTCCGTCAAGTCATCAGATTCGGTGTCGATGTTCGTTGGCAAGAACCCATTCGAAATTGCACGTAGGCCAACGTTTGAATTCGTTCCGGTTCAGGTAAGGCACATATCTCTCGGTCATTTCTCCTTGACCCATTTCTCCCTGACCTCCCCCGCGTCGCGGCCATGCGGTTGCGCGCAATGCCGCAAGGTGTTATTTTGGAGTGCTCCATGGTGCCACGCATGCAGAGCGATAGCGATAATGAAATTTGTCATTTGTTTTTCGGTCGGCGTGCCAAGGCTGTTGACGCCTGAGTGATGTCCGAGACACGTTCTGTACACTCGTAACATGTCTAAGCCTTGCAGGAGGCAGTTCAAGCCCAATCACCAGTTTCCATAGGTCCCGCAGTTGACATGCACTGGAGTTCTGAAGAAGAGGAGTCAAAATGGTGAGGATCGGGATGGTGAGGACAAGGAGCAACACGGATGCCAAGCAAGGGGCAGAGGATAGATCCGATGAGCGCGACAGTTTTGAACATCCATATGTGCTTTGTAGTTTGAGGCTGTACATGTTGTTGATTATTGCGCATGCGTTCCAGACATTCTGGTTATTTGCGTAGTGGTGTGTACTCATTTTACGTTGGGCCCTGTTGGTTGATCTGAGCTTCCGGTATGGTATGCGATACATCATACGTTTGCCTCTCTGTGTTTTGCACGGTCGCGGCTTTGGGGTCGCCGCGGTGCCATGTGCAAAAATGTTTCTCGCGCAGTCCATGCCAGCCATGCGTGGTGTTGGGGCCCGCCGACGGGTGTGAGCTGTGCAGTACCAGACTTCTCCAACGGGTAGATGCTGCACAGCATGAGGAGTAGGAGGATGAGGGAGAGAGAGAAAGAGAGAGAGAGAATCAGGATGTGGAGTGAGGGGTGTGGAGACGAGAGAAGAGGGAGAGGGATGAGAGAGCAGGATTGAGAGACGAGGGGCTGGCAAGGAAAACCTTGGAGGTTGGAGGCAAGGAGGTGGAGGAGAAGGACGAGGGAGCAGGAAGGAGGAGGTAAGAGGGGGTAGGCGTTTGGATGGCATCACGTGGCAGGGTGGCGGATATTTCATACCAGCAGCTCGCACAGGGCGCACCGCGAAGTCTTTGTGGTAGCTTGAACTGATCTTGGCGCTGTCTCCCCGCAGGTCACGTGGGAGGGCAGCTGGACCGCAGCACGCATTATGACGATGTGATTTACCCTTTTGTGCTCGGGCCAGGCCAGGCCCACGCCAGCGCACGTCTGCGTGCCAATGTCCAGGCGGATGTGCGCACGCGTGGGCCACTTTTTCTTGGCCGTTTTCCCACTTGGTGCTCTGAGTGTTTTCCTCTCGGGGGTCGTTCTCCATCCATTCAGCAGTGGTGGTGCGGATTGGCACGCGCAACGGTTCTCATCCGGCACCACTTGTAACGGGTGTCTCAGCGTGCGTGAGGGTTAGCAGAGTCGTTGTAGGTTGTCAATCTTGCCTCTGCCCGAGAAAATGGGCCCTTCCAGCAGCACGGTTGAGCTGGACGATCTCCTGATCTTCCTTTCCCCCTCTCCCTCCTTGACCCCCCCCTGCCCCTGACGCATGGATACGTCGCATGGTCTCGGACTCACCGTTCATTCCCGCCTCGCTGACCGCCCCCGCTCCTTCCCCTGGAAACTGCCGGGGCCTCGCCGCCGCCCTCGTCGCCTCCGCGCCCCCCCGGCTTTCGAGCCCCCGGCCCCGGCCTCCTGCCCGCGCGCGTGCGCACTTGCCATGGCCTGGGCGGGCGCACGGCAGCGGCCTTGTCCGCTCGAAGTCTTCCCTAACCCGACGTTTTTCTCCCCCTTGTTAGGCTTGCCGACGGAGTTCTTACTTGGTTGCAGGTTGGTGCCTGCTATTGTTACTTTGCCCGCTGCTCGGAGGTTCCTCGGGTTCCTCGGGCTCCCCGCCCACGGTGCCTCCTATTGTTACGTTGCCCGTTTCCTGGAGGTTCCTCGGGTTCCCCGGGTTCCTCGGGTTCCCCGCCGTGGTTGCTGGTCTTGCTTCCCAGCAATGCCAGGCAACGCCAGGCAACGTCAAGCAACGCCAAGCAAAGCCAAGCAGACCAAAGCAGCGCAAAGCAACGGCAAGCAATGCCAAGCAACGCCAAGTAGTGCCAAGCAATGCCAAGCAACGTCAAGCAATGTCAAACAACGCCAAGCAACGCCAAGCAATGCCAAGCAACGTCGAGCAACGCCAAGCAACGCCAAGTATATCAAAGCATTGCAAAGCAAAGCCACGCCAAGCAACGCCAAACAATGCCGAGCAACGCTTAGCAATGCCAAGCAACGCACACTAATGACAAGCAACGCCAAGCAACGCCAAGCAATGCCAAGCAACGCCAAGCAGTGCAAAGCAACGCTAAATAATGCCACGCATAGCCAATCAGCGCCAAGCAACACCAAGCAACGCAAATAAATGCCAAGCAATGCAAAGCAATGCCAAGTAATGGCAAGCAGTGCCAAGCATTGCCAAGCAATGCCAAGCAACACCAAGCAACGCAAATCAATGCCAAGCAGCGCAAAATAATGCGAAACAGAGCAATGCAATGCCACGCAACGCCAAGCAACGCCGCTTAGGAAGCGTTCCCCTAAATGGGGTCGCGCCGGGTTCATTCGATACGGGGTCCCGGGAAGTGCCGAGACTTTCCCCAGGGCCACTCTTTCGTGCCGAGCCGTTTTTTAACGGTCCCCAGGACCGGCGAGGGCCGCCCAGAGGTTGAAGACGGCCGAAAACCGTCCGTCGTTTCTTCCACGACGCGAGCATGCCTGGGTCACCTCCCCCCCTCTAGGCATCCCAGATGGGGTCGGAGTGGATGGGGTCGGAGGATCGCGTCGCATCGCCGATGCACCGGCGATGCATCGCCGATGCATCGGAGCGGTCGGCGATGCATCGGCGACGTCCGTGTGGAGAGTCGAGCTCCGCATCCAGCCGCTCAAAGCCCATTTGGTAGGCCTCTACCTCCTCCATCCCCTCCTCCGTCCCCTCCTCCCCTCCAGCCCCGCCCCAGCCCGTTCCCTCCCGCCGCGCGCCTCGTCCGTGGCCCGAGCCTGGCGCAGCTCTCTGCACCACTGCCGCCTCCCCCCCCCCCGGCGGCCCCGGAACGTAGTACGCGACCCGTGAGGCGTCCCATGGGGGGGTGTCGGCTCTTCCGTTCCCACATCCCCGACGATCTGATCGACACGATCGAAATAGGTACTGAAAGAATGGGTGCGAAGATTTTTGGTATTTGACCGCGCAGTCTACAACGTGGCGCACTTGTCGATTTCGAGACTGGATGTCAGTAGCCGTTGAAAGCTGCGCCATCTGGGCAGCGGGAATCCAGTCGCCCACTGCAGCAAATTTTGACAGATGATCGGCAAATTCGCTGGCGATCTCTGCAGCCGCGCGGGTGCCAGAGCCAATGAGCAAGGCGATCTCCACTCGGGAAGAGAACTATGGTGACGGAAAGAATGAGTACGAAGACCGACGACAGTCCCTGTTCATTTTGAACAGGATTCGTTGTCGGCGTCGCCGCGAACGTTGTTCGTTAGAGACAGAAGGCCACTTGCCCAACAGTGGGCGCTGTCGGTTTTGGACAACATCTGTTGTTGGGCATCCTCCACATTTTCCCCGTACTCATTTCGGGCGTTCAAATGGTATGTTTTTCAGCTAGCGCTTGTTCTTCGATCTCGGCCATCGGGTTCCGATCTCGGGCCCCAGGGCCATCAAGAACGGACCCAGGACGACCCCCCCCCTGGGGAGGCGGGCGAGACCTTTGGGGCCACGGGTTGAAAGCAACATGTCGGCAGATGTCAGGGTCCGTCCGCTCCTTGCCTGGCTCATTTTTCTTTCTCCATCCTCCATCCTCCTCCCGCCCTCCCTTCCACCCCCCCTTCTCCCGTCCTGCTAGTCGAACTCGGACTCGGATCTGCAGGCTGATGAGTTCGCAGCGTCTCCTTCCGCGAACTCGGACTCGGATCTAAATGCGGATGAGTTCGCGGCCTCTTTGTTTCTCCTCTCTGCTCATCCCCTTCATGCTGCTGCTCTTCCTCCCCTCTCCTCCCCCATCCGCCTCCTCGTCATCTTCTTACTCCTTCCTCATCCTCCCCCCAGCCGAGGAGGGGGAGAAGGATGAGGGAGCAGGAAGGACCACATTGTGCGTGTGTGTGTGTGTGTGTTGCATGCTGTTTTCTGTGTGTCTTTGATCGCGCGATCGACTCACAAATACGCTTCGGGGCCACCACGATCGGGGGACTCAGGCAAGGGTGACGCAACATGGCACAACATCCAAAATGAAGTTCATTTCATTTAGCAGGTATCCCAATCTAGCCGAGCAGCCGTGTACACCGATCCTGGACCCAGGATGGGGCTGGCCAGGATTTGTGAGATGGTCAGTTAAGGTTGCCCTGGCCCAGACGAGGCCAGATCGCATCCCATGGGGAGGCGCCATCTGGATGTTCGCCTCGTGCGTCATTCGGGGGAGGGTTTGTGAGAGAGGCCGTGGACTGGGTGAGGTCGACGGTGACCCGAACGGACCGGAGGGAGGGGAGGCGAGACGGACCTATATATATGTGTATATCTATAGCTACATATATATACACATACATACATACATATATATATATATATACATATATATATATATATATATATATATATATATGCATTTGATACCAAAGCAAAGCCCCAATCAACGCCTCTTTAGGGCTATATGGCTATAGGGCTGTAGGGCCATAGGGTTATAGGGCTATAGGGCTATGGGACTATGGGGCTATAGGGCCATAGGGCTATGAATCTATAAGGCTATGGGGCTATAGGACCACAGGGCTATAGGATTATAGGGATATGGGGCTATGGTGCTATAGGGCTATAGGACTATGAGCATAGATAGAGCTACAGGGGTACAGGGCTATAGGGCTACAGGGCTATAAGCATATAGAGCTATAGGGCTATAGGTCTATGGTGATATAGGGCTATAGGGCAATGGGGCTACAGGGCTATTGGGCTATAGGGTTACAGGGCTATAGGGCTACAGGGCTGTCGGGCTCTAAGCATATATAGAGCTACAGAGCTATCGGGCCATAAGGCTATAGGGCTATATGGCTATAGGGCTATAAGCATATAGATAGAGCTATAGGGCTATAGGGCTATAGGGCTATAGGGCGATGGGGATATAGGGCTTTAGGGCTACAGGGCTATCGGGCTATAGGGCAATGGGGCTATAGGGATATTGGGCTACAGGGCTATAAGGCTATAGGGCTATAAGCATATATATATATATATATATATATATATATAGAGCTATAGGGCTATAGGGCCGGAAAACGCGATGATGATAGCAGCGACGCGGGCGACGCTGATGACAATGGCGACAGCAAGGGCAATGACGGCGCCGATGCTGAGCGACGACGGCGACGACGACGAAGGTTCCAGGGGATTCCGACGCGCGCGCGCGCGCGGTCGACGTGCGCGAGCGGCCCGCGTGGTATGATTTGAGAGGGATCGTGCCCCCCCCTCCAGCGCGCGCGCGCGAACGCCCAGATGCTTTCGACGCGCGCCCGCGCGAATGGCGCGCGCGGTCGCCCTCGATGAACGCGCAGAATATAGGCGCGCGCGGCATTCCATGGAACTCGCGAGAGGGCGGGCGCGGATTGTTCTGAACATTTCTGTTGCGAGAGCATTGCTTTCACGTGTTTTCGGGGCTCTCGATTGCGAAGGCCTGACGGCCGGTGCCGCCGACCCTGTTCGCAATGCGCAGCAAGAGGCACGGGCTGTGGGATGGTTTGGGGGAACGGGGAGAAGGACGAGAAGGTGGCGGAGGGAGCTGTCGTATCTGACCCGGGACTTCCCCGGGACTCCCCCGGGACCCCCCCCGGGACCTCCTCTCCCCCCCCCGTCGGGGAAGGGAAAGGGAAGGGGCTTCCCTTCGACTCAATGACGACGTTGCTCAAGGTCGGTACGGGGGGGGGGCGTCGTATCTGACTCGGGGGGGGGTCGCTACCCCCCCCCGCTACCCCCCCCCCCCTCCCGGCGGGGGAGGAATGAAAGGGAAGGGGCTTCCCTTCGACTCAATTACGAGGTTGCTCAAGGTCGGCTTGGCTGGAGCCCAGGGGAAGAGGAGTCCCAGGGGGGGGCGTCGTATCTGACCCGGGGGGGGGGTCGCTACCCCCCCCCCCTCCCGGCGGGGGAGGGATCAAAGGGAAGGGGCTTCCCTTCGACTCAATTACGAGGTTGCTCAAGGTCGGCTTGGCTGGAGCCCAGGGGAAGAGGAGTCCCAGGGGGGGGCGTCGTATCTGACCCGGGGGGGGGGTCGCTACCCCCCCCCCCCCCGGCGGGGGAGGGATGAAAGGGAAGGGGCTTCCCTTCGACTCAATTACGAGGTTGCTCAAGGTCGGCTTGGCTGGAGCCCCCAGGGGGGGCGTCGTATCTGAGGGACCCCCCCCCCTCCCGGCGGGGGAGGGATCAAAGGGAAGGGGCTTCCCTTCGACT